CTGTTGCAACAATGTCTGTGTTTGGAATTTAGTGTTAAATGACTGGACTACTATTATCCCAGCAGAGCCGATGCGACATACCGTGAATTATTTAAAGAGAGAAAACGCGAAAAAAAACACACAGACTTGGAAATTAGCAATGACAAATGTTGAGAGAAAATCTATTTGTCCAATTACCGTCATGAAATAAAATGTATTTTCATGCTATATTTAATAAAGAACGAAAACCACATGCAGGCATTCGCAAGCAGATTTCCGTTTATAATGATTTATTGTTCGTTCTGACAGGATCGGGGTTAGCATATAATACCGATGGAGTAAAAGTTCTCGTTTCTCAGCTAATTAGACTGCATGACTTCTATACGCAAAGATTTCTAGACAAGCCAGCTATAGAATTTCCAGAGTCACATTAGTAAATATGTTTCTGTATGGTTTTATTTCATCGTAATTAGTTAAAGGTCAAATCAAGGACAGTGCTTACAGATGATTGAACCGTTCAAGTGTTGCAATGGGGACAACAAATTAAGTTCAGTCTCCGATATGTCTCCAAAAATATTTAAATTATTTCCTTTCAGATATAGTTGGTCAATTATTTAAAAAAGAAATCTGCATGAAATCACACAAAAATCAAAAGTGTACTGTGTACAATGCTATTTCAAACTCACATAATGGACAAATCGTACAATCAAGAGTAACAAAAAAGAAAAGAACGGAAACATATTTATTTATCCAGGGACATAATTAACAAATTTGACCTCTTTGCACAAAACATAACATTGTGTTGGGACTGTGTACCTTCCTACAAACAAGGACAGCGTTGCACAATGTTCCTACAGTACTCTATACCCAAACAATATAACGCAGGGAACAAGCATGGCCTCGAACACATCCCGTCCTTAAATGACCTTAGCTGTTAATAGGACGGTNCCCCCCACACACACACACACACAAAATGGTCAGAAATAAATAGCCCATAACACAAAATAGGTAATGGCAATGGATGAGAGGAAAAGATAACCTCGTACACCTAGAACACGTTGCTTTAAGGGAAAATAAACAGGAGATCTCCCCTTATTAGTTTGGTAAGCTCCTGAAAGCGTCAGTTTGATGGTCTGTTAAATCCAATCGTATTTTTTATGAGGAAATCAGCGTGATTGGGTGTACATACAACCACCGACAGTGTCAAAGACAGACGCTGAGGTGATGCCATGTGACCGGACAAGGTGAACAGTTTCAGAAAAGTAATTCCTTAAACTAATTAATTAACATTAAGGGAAATTATTGCATGTGTTTGTTATCGTAAATTTTGCACCAAAACAACATTGTTCTACTTCAATGTGTGTTTATTTGTCCGTTGAGTGCGTCCAAGAGCATTCTTAAACCCGTTTCATCAATGTTCCCCGTGCATTCCTATTAGGCATACCCCCGTTGTCTCATCAATAGAATAATAAACACACGAAATCTTGACGCATTTCCGAAATCGATGTTTTTGCTCGCAGCTGAATGATGAATAGGGTGACACAAACAGAAATTAACAACACATGTTTAAACATGATGCATTGAGCAGTGAAGGCGAAGACAAACATTGGTCGTTAATCAGTGCAGAGCGTTTGAACCCCAACGTATTGAAAGACATTGGTTCCCCTGCAATTTTTCTGGTGACTTCTATTTGACCTCTTAAGCATGGCATTACATCTTTTATTGCTATAGAACGTGACACGTAAAAGCATTCATTCTCAGGAACATTTCTCAGATTTAGTTTGAAGGGCATCGGGTAGGAAGCACAAATAAAGTACGAACAATTGAAAACAAGACTCCTGTTTTTTCTCTCATTTCCCTGTGTGTAAGATAGAGCTGTACATGGTAAGAAACGGGTGTAGGAAATTGCTTTCTTGCAAACCAGACCAAGATATCCGCATTTCCGGAAGTGCTGGAAAATTGATATCTTCAAAATTATGGCCATTCCAAACGCATTTACATGGTTTCTGAGCTTATTCTGGTGGTTGGAATGAGAGAAAAATACTCTTTCGTGCCCAAAGGTGTAGGATAGGGAAATTCCACCTTTGGGAATTTCAAATTTTCCAAAACTCTCGGCAAAGCCTCATATTTCCTATCCTACATCCCTGAGCATGAAAGAGTCTTATATTATTCCATGTCACTGGACGCTATTTGTATTTGTATAGTATGGTTTTATAATGCAAAACAGAAAATAAATATGCATTAAATGTACGTCTGAAAAAAAAATGAGTAAAAACTTTTATTATGTAATATCTCACTCTGTATTCAACAAGCTCTAAACGTATCTTAACAGTGTTTCTCCAATATATGTAAAAAGATTTTTAAAAGAAGGATGTAGACCTCACCTAAATAATATACAGCTATATTTACATTTGCGCTGCAACCCACTATATGAACATTCCCAGCGGAAACGCATTTCATTTGAGTATGAAAGCAAATTTTGATGATGTTTTGATGATTTTTTAGTATTTGTCTCTTACAATTTTAGATTAAAAGTTTAATACATGTAATTACCATGCATAAGGTATAATAAGCGAAAAGTAAAGGAGGGGTGCCAATTTGGCTCTTCTGGTGGCTACCACCGATACGTTTTATTTTTTGTATATACTTACCTTGGGGTTATGCCATCATGATATGACATGAAATTAAGGTCAGCTTGGAGATCATTCCAAGATATGAGGGGGTAAAGTGGGGGACCAAAATCACAAATGAGCGCTTTTTTTTTTTACAAAACTATATATTTGTTATTTTTTTAAAGTTTCTTCATCATGCTGGTGTATTGCGTAACAATAAAGCAGCAAATATAAAAAAAAATGTCCGAAAAAAGTAGCACATAGTTGACAAGTAGGCAACTCAAGTTCAAGTTCTTTATTATTTGACCTTGTTATATATTGGCTTAATTATGTTAATAATTCTTCATTTTTTGTGCCTAAATACATATTAGAACCATACAATAATCTAACCAATTTGTATTAATAAGTATCTTAACCAAACCTAAAGTATTGGGTTTCGAAATAATCAAGTCAATCACACCACGGGTCTGCGCACGTGTCAGACGTCGAAAAGTAGCGAAAATCTTTGAAAGTCGGAAATGGCGTGTGTGTTTGGAAGAAACGGATATCATGTCCGCGGAACAAGAATGCGTTTTACGTGCATGTAGGAGGTTTTTAAAAGATAATCCATCTTTCCAACGGTACTAAGCATTGTTTGGAACATCATTTTACTTCGAGAGCGTTCATCCCTTCTCGTATACATGTATAATCATTGGCGTGGCATTTTTACCGAAAGTCGATCTATACCCCTAAAACATGTAAAATTACTCTGAACACCCTAGTTGAGGTCCAAATATAGCTGTAACCAAATTATCATGTTCCTGTGATATCAAGTTTTGAAGTGTGTGATAAGCAATTAAGGATCCCCATACCAATGCCAAAAGTTTAACTATGCTTTCGAAACTTATTTTTCAAGCATAACTAAAGTTTTGATATATCTTTTGAAACGAAAGGTATAACCTTACAGGTCTTTATGAAAATATAATGGAGATGAAATAAAAAATAAATAAATCAACAAACGTGTCCGGAGTGTAAAACAATCTGCGGGGCCAGACCGGAATGTACTATATAGAAGAAAAACGGCAGTGCAGAGGAACAGGGATCATTAAGGTAAATAGACATTTTGAAGGTGTATAGGATGTGATGCGAACCTGAAATTATAGTATATTTATCATAATATCACATTCATCATAAATTACGTCTGTATTTGTATTGTTTCATTATATATTATATATATTATATATAACACTTTATTTTGTTGCAGTTCCTTTAGCAATAATGATCTCGGTGATCGTTGGTGGTCAGGTGGTGCAGTGAATAGCGCACTTGCCTTTCACCAAGGCGACCGGGGTTCGATTCCCCGATCGGACGTGAAAAGGTATGGGGTCACCTGCCCGATCACGTGGGTTTTCTCCAGGTATTCCAGTTTCCTCCCACACTAAGACCCCCCCCCCCGCGCTGACATTCGGGCCAACCAGTTGAAATAACTTGTTTCCTAATTGTTGTAAAATAAATAAAGTTTATAGAATTATAGCAGGAATGATCCCTGACAATGAATATAGAAACCTCAGATCTAACGCGTAACTTTGTAAAAGTCTAAAAATAATTTTAATGAAGAAATGAAAGCACACTCAACCATGATTTGATACTGGTTACTTGTACATAGCGCAATAACGCTGTAAAAATTGGTTGAGGCGTCTGATATTCTGCTACCACTAGCCCTCCACCACTGGGTCGCGGGTTCGAGACCACCGTTTGTCGGTGTTTTTTTTCTCCGGAATATCCGGCTTTCCTCCACCACCAAAACCTGGCACGTCCTTAAATGACCATAGCTGTTAATAGGACTAAAACAAAAACAACCCAAACCAAAATTACTCATCACGAAGAATGAGTGTGATCCTTGTGTGACCCTCTTGTGACACACCATTTGAAGTGGGTCAGACAAAAAGTAAAGTTTTGGAAAGGTAATACAGTTTGAGAACAAATGCACTTAATTTCCAAGGCTTCAATGCTCTTTGTAACTGTACGTATATGTTACAATGTAACCAAGTATTCGAAGAGTATACGGAACCGTCCATATTATAGCCAGATGTCTGTGAAATGAAATGAAATTAATTACCGACTCGCTGACCAGCTAAACTGGTCAACAAACAACAAAGACCACACAAAACCCTATTCACGGGCTCTGCAAGGCATGAAATGACCACAATACAATTGCTACGATAGTATAGATAGGGTGCGATCACAATAATTAAATCGAGTCGCAAACGAAATATAACGGCGATGATAACATCGATAAGGGACGATGATGATCTAATCTGACACTATCTATAGCAGGTGACTGTATATACGCTACCGTTCTCGTCGCCGAGGGGAGGTGTTTGGTGTTACTGACGAGCACCGCATTTGTCGCCTGCGGGGGTGACCATACGGCTGCTAGCAGCCCTACTAGTATACACGTTTGACTTACGTATATAGCTCAGTGATATATAGTTCGACTGTAAACAAGACTAACTTCATATTGCGAGTTGGTTATCAGAGAGTGAAGTATTCAGTTAAAAGATTCATGTTTAGTAAAGACTTGAGACCTGGCATTGTTGGTACTTTAGATAGTCGTTCGTGTGCTGATAAATTCAATGATGTTTAGTTAAACAGCAGATACATCATAATGGCTGTAGTTACACTCCAATCTGGTGACTCTTGATGGTGGAGCCTTGCCCATAATCCGCAGAAATTTATCACCAGGGATTCAGGCGGGAGCCGAGAAAGGTCTTTACATTCGGAGCATGTCACGAGCAAGCGGCTTTACCTATGCGTGGCTCGTGTCGCATTTATGATCTTACTGTGCTGATATTAGTCACAAATCGAGACGGGATTCGAATAGTATAAAACACGGTTTAACGCCAATTCTTTATTGCTAGATGTTTTAACGTAAAGTGACGACAAAATGTAATTTAATAGTTCTGATCCGCTGTAGGAATATTGAAATCCGGACTTGGGAGGGTGACTACAAACAAACAGTCAACGAGTGAACGTTGGATGTAACGTTAAACCAGCAACTATCTACAAATCGTTTGTTCTGTGTTGATTTGTGTGAAATTGAATGGAGTGGGATCACCTGCAGTTTCAAATTTACTGGGTTTTTGTCCTACCAGTTTACCTGGCATACCTGAGGAACTACACAGGTCTCGCTTAGGTAACTGAGGGGACGTATATACCTGTACACAAAACACTGAGGACACACACACACATATATATATAGCAATGTAAAAACCAGTGGCTTACACGCAGCACAAAATATTTACAGACATGTTCGGAGTCTCGAGTGGAGCAGCAGTTTGCTGTAGGTTGCAGGGATGCCGAGTGGAGCAACGATTACAGTTTTTTTCCGAAGAATGAACGCTTATAGAAGATTTACATTCATATACCATCAATTGGCATGTGTAAATTCAATGTATTCCACGAAGGATCCATATTCTGTGTATATGACTGTACCCGTGCAATTTATGTTTTGAAATGTGTGTCAGCGAATATCAACTTGGAATTTTTAAATGCAATACCCAGTGAATGGAAAAAAAGAGACAAGAGAGAAGAAACGTGGACACGAGCTAGGGCAATGTGCTGACACGAATGACGAGAATCAGCTTTATTGTCTTGGAAACCTGCTGTACGGATTTGATCTGAAGCTATTAAACCCACGTGTGATCGTGGTAACATTTACCGACTAAAAATGACTGACTTGGAGCAGACGACACCGATGGCAACCGATACCCTTCTTCCCGGGGGTCGGGACAGTGACACGGAGACCGGACATGTGGAATCAAATTTACCCACATCAGGTTTGTACGCCTTTGTTTAAAAACAATTTATAGCAAGTGTTTGTTTAAATGACACGAATAGTGATTGTATGGGGTGCATCTGAGATAAAATGCTTGCCTTTATTTTATATTCCCGCCTTAGGTTACATATCTCCGACGTATACACTTTTGTCCAATGTCAGTTTGATCAGCACACCGATAAAACGTAAACCATCCTGTTTTCAGCGCCCAGCTTATAATGCGTGCTTCTGTTTGTTTTGTTATTCCATAACGTTCGTAGTGAAACTCTAACTTGGCAAAGCATTGTCAACATACCCCACTGATATTAGTCATGTTAGAATAAGTTAACCAGACATGAAACACTCGTCTGACTAGGTTGTTTCACCTGAGCGGTCCGCTTATATACATAATAAAGGGAAGTAATGCCAAAATAAATTGTTTGTATTTCTTAGTCAAAAATACTACATAAACATAGCTATTGAACAATGTATATGTTAATGGAAAACTGATGGTCACTTAAGATATTGTGTATTGGTATTAAAACCTTATGCGACAGACCTAATGTTTAATGAACCATCAGTTCGTTTTAAAGAAATTGATTTTAAACCATGCCATTTTGTTTGTATGAGAGTGCACCAACAGACGATAATAAATTGTTGTATGTTGGTGAAAATTTCTCTAGCATTGCTCCATACTAACCACAGTTTAAGAAAAGTCCAGAATGGCGACATGATTTGGATATCGAAATAACTTTCATCTAATCCATTGCTCTACGTTTTATAATAAACAACTTTAAAACAAACTGAATTACACCTCTATGTACATAAATAACTATGGTTCGTACTCATTAGTATTACAACATTAGCTGGTAGACTTAAATACACGTTATAATTTAACTGTCGGCGCTCACCAAATACCCTTTACAGTCACTACATGTGTAACACGCACATGTTGTATTACATATATTCGCTCAATAAAAATTACTTTCTAAACGAAAACTATTTATTTGATCGATGATTGAAATTTGAACTAAAATCCAAGTGTTTATAATGTCCCCGGAGTCGGATGATATTATATCTGACCGCTGTGAGCTTTTTATAGCGTATGAATAATACTGATGTTTAAACATTACACTCAGGTCGTGACAAATTTGTTTGACAAACAACCTATTCAACAGATTTAACTGAAAGACACTGGGGAACCAGATAAAGAAACAATGGTTTAGGTCAACTTAAACTAGCCATTGGTGTGTATTTTAAGTATCTTTTTCTGGATCCAGTTAGATTTAGCTTTTATATGACACCATATATTACAAAATGTACTTCAATTTCTGCTTGATTCAATTTAGAATATTGCAATTTCTACTCCATTTTGATTAAACGAAACCACCAAATGTTGAGTCAATTCATTTGCCCGTGGCATTTTCCTGATGCCTATGCGTATGAATTCGAGTTAACTTTCTAACCGATAATAATCCGCTACAATGAATAGTGTTTCGTTGTATTTATCGAAATTATCAAATGTTGAGAAATTATAAAAAAACAAATACACAATATTTTATTTTTTGTATAATAAGGATGTTCCATTAAGAAAGATTTCTATCCAGCACGGTCCATGAAAATGAAGATTAAAGGACGGCATGATATTATGATATTAGTTGTTGTTCGGGGTTTAACGTCCTATCAACTGCTTAGGTCATTTAGGGACGCGATATAATATGAGAATTGCACAAGCTTTAGTATATTGTGTCTAACGGTAGGCGTATAACAGACTCCAGGTTTTAACGAACTGGTTAAATTGAAGAATAAGGACTGCAAGCTGCTTCTGTTTATCTCGGGGGTGATTATCAGAGAACGTACGGAGACAAATTTAACATGAACTATCAAAGCAATTTATTAACCGTTTCTTCGGAAAAAGTTAACTCAATATCCAATGGAATCGATAATATCAAGATAACATGAACATTTCGCGAGAGATCTTGGACGGCGTACGCGTCTTTAATCAACAAATAAATAATCTTATTAATAATGAAAAAAGATTTTTGTTATATGAAACAATATTTCAATTCCTACTCAAGTTGGACTCGATGCAACTACCAAATGCAACCTATTTTATTTGCCGATGAACGTATGATATTGCAAAGGGAGATAACTAGTGACATGTTTAAACAAAGATACCACTAGATAAGATTTCACAAAGAAATTGTACAAACAACCAAAAACGATAAATCAGCAAAATATTATTAGCTCACGGTTGCTAGCGGTAGTGACAAGTCATGTACTGCCCTAGAAATTCTCCCTACAGCTATCGAAAACAAATGTTAGATCCACAGGGGCTCGTTACAAATGTCTGAAATACACATATCATTCTAGTTATAACTGATATGGGTCACAGCACACATAAACATACATATACATGTATGTTAAGGTGTGCTGTGACCATATCAGTATAGCATATGTGTATAAATGTATGTTTATGTGTGCTGTGACCCATGTCAGTATAGCATATGTGTATTTCAGACATTTGTAACGAACCCCTGTGGTAGATACATGTTGTCCCGTCTTATATGAAATACAGTCGAACAGCCAAATGTCATATTAAATGGCTCGTCCTTTCCAGCCACGTCTGGTTTCCTGTCTAATTCGACATTCAATTACTGAAGTTTCACATTCCAGAAGATGTAGAACCACGAAATTAAGCGGCTCTCCATTTCGAACAAGTATAAATATGGCTGCAGACTCGCAACTGAGCCTGTGCACCGCGTCTAGACATTATTCTTCCGCGATGATGCATCAGAAAATTTGATATCTTTTGAATTCACCAACAAAAATTGAATATGACATTTGAAATATGGTTTTGTGTTTTGTTCTATCAACGTATACCATCATGATGTATGATGGTCCTTCAATGACGGACTGTATTTTTTACATTCCGTCAACCCGTAGACTTACACAAGCTCCAGAACCTGGGACAAACGATCAGAATGGACTTATTTCAAGGGGTGATGAATTGAGTTTGTCTTGAAACAGATTCAACATGAACTGCGAAATTTGTTTCAAGACCAACTCAATACATCACCCCATGAAATCGATCAAAGCAAGATTCGCAGTTCATGTTGAATTTGTCAAGACCAACTCAATTCATCACCCTATGAACTCGACCAAAGCAAGATTCAATCCTTTATTTGTGTATACTTTACAATTGTTATATAAGATTACAAAATCTGTTGGTTTTCCTTTCTATGCTCTGGTAACATTTTAACGAAAAATTCAGTGATTTTTGGAATACTTGTCAATTAAAATCTGACGAGGGGAAAATCCGTTACGTTACCGAAACTTGAAGTTGATTTCGTCCGACAGTTGGACATTTTTGTGATGTCGTCTATGGCAAGCCAACTCAACATTTAATACCCAAAGAGGGTGGCATACTAGAAATTTATAAGATACACGTATAATAAATTTCTTTTAATGAAATAGAGATATCTCTTTTTGAAATAGATATATCTTTTGATTTGATAGAGATATAGTGAAAAGACAATATCCCTTCACTTGATTTAAACATATCTTTAAAGGCAATAGAGATATTTTGGTCTCTGTGGAGTATAACATATAGATAGATAGATCTCATATAATTAGGACAATATGAGATATCTCTATTATATTAGTTTATGATATATCTTCTTTATTAATAGAGATATTCCTATTAGGTATTAATTGTTAAGTTGGTTTCCTGTAGTCTAGTATTGCTTACCGCCCGACGATAGACTTCTGCTTTCTGATTGGTCAACACATCGTTTGGCACGGGACTTTTCTTTTGGTAAAAATCGTCGAGGTTATCAGATTGTATTGAAGACTTCTCACTTTTTTGTAAACGAAAATAACTGAGCGAAGTTTCGGCAAATCGCAGCGAAGTAGAAACGAACGTCATAAGACCAATGCTCGCCTCAGGCAAGGAGTGCAGGGCAATGCACCGTCTTCAAATCTGAAGGCATACTGTGGTCGTTATTTACCGACTAGTTATTATTTTATACAAATATGTGGTTTCCTCACACGCTCATAATATTAAAGTTTTTTTTGCCCAGCCACTCTATCAAATCCGACGGCCGCAAGCAGTATTAGCGAAGAGCATGTGTACTTGCACTTACTTGAGCAGACGCTGTGTAGTAATCTGTTGAATTGCGTAACACGTGGTTTTATTGGTTCGGAAGTCCAGGATGCTAAATTAAAACGTTACTTTTAAACATAGATGTAATACTTTATCTCGTCATCCAGGATGCTTAGTCGTGTCATCCACAGAAGGTCTATCTCGAAAAGCAATAACCGCTAATGAGTTTGAGATTATCTATTTGGTAGGGGTAATAGTTATTACAAGAGTTGAGCTCGTAAAACTTTAGGTGTTCATTCCCATCTCCCATTGATCCCTGGCACTTCCCTGGCTTGTTTCTGTACAGTACAATTACATTAGTTTTCTATTGTAATTATAAACACCTGTACAACGATACTATTGTTCTTTTTAGAGTTTCTAATTTTAGCCTCTATAATGGTTAGAGCATTCGAAAACAGTCTTCTACTGTTTAGGGAAGCTAACGACATGCAGGTTTTATTTTTTTATCGGCCAAACAGCACAGGGACCTACAGATTAAGAAACTAAAGCACGTTATGTATTTTAGACCATACCAGATGTGTAGAGGAAACAGAAACGCTATCCCACGGTTAGTTAGTACCGTACCGACACAATCCGTGAGGTGGCGTGTTTGTCGGGTGTTTAACAACGTCTAACAACATTTTGTTAAGGATGTTGTGTCTAAATTATCAAAGCCCTGTGTGTAAATCACCTCGCCTTAATGACTGCGCTTCAAATGACTGATTTAGGAGAATTTATTTCGCGATATATTGTCTGGATAAATATCAACGGGACGTTGTATCAACTCTCTCTGAGAATTAAACCGGAATAATCTCGATAATATACATATACGTTTAAAGTAATCCGATATTTAAATGAACTTTACATGTACAACGTGA